TAATTTTATGCTCACTGGCTGGTTGCAAAGCATAATACCTTATATGGATTATGAGTAACAGACTGTTTGCCCACTGTTTTCCCCTTCAACCACATTTTTTCCCTCTTAAAATTTTCTGCTCCAGATGTCTCCTTGGATGAGCATCGCCTGAAGATGACTGCGGTGGCATGCACTCTCTCCTTTTCCAGGGACATTTTAATTTTTTTTAAAATATAGGTTGCAAATGCCTCAGGGAAACATTCCTCACTAACCCTTTTAGCATCAAGTTTACCCAACATCTGAATTTAGTTTGCATAAATGTTTCATTTAAAGAGTAAAAATTCTACAGGCAAAGCTAAAGGAGATGAGGAATCTCTATACCTCTCTCTCTTTTGTACAATGTCAAACCCCCAGTTTATTGGTCCATAAATACGGACAACATTGGAAAATATTCTCATATGAAGGAAATTGAGAATCCAATTTCAAGTTAGTCCAATTGTATCTAGAGATTACAAATGCTTCCATTATTTGCTATCATGACCCACCAAGGGGAATTGCTCTGAGAAGATAATGCCATGTGATTGAAGCCTTTTTCAGTATTGTAATACATATTTGAGGGGCTGACACTTTGCAACCCTGGGAAATTGAGGTAAACAACTCTCTGAACTCCCAGTTGATTATGTCAGGGGAAAATGGCCATCTTATTACAACTCTTCATAAGAAAGAATATTGCCTTAATGTTTGTCCTAAAATGACTAAAGGTTCAAATTTGATATGTTTTACCCTCTTGAAAAATGCTTTGATCTGATGTAGGCATCAGTTAACAAACGTTAATGTTAAGAGGAAAAAATATTGAAATGCTATCATTTTATTCAATTAAAAACAAAAACTTTACTCCTAAAATTAAATTTACAACTCAAAACAAAATGTTCATGATTATAAACGTTTCTATGATTTGACTTTGATCTCCTTTCTTATTTTCATATATAATATTTAGTCTTCTATAATCTTTATTTTCAAAAATAAATTCTAATCCATAATTAAAAGGTAATTTGCAATATCTCTAATGAACAATGTCAGAAGAATACTTCTTGGCTAAGAAAAAAAATCACTTTAAATATCATTTTGAAATAAAAAAATGTAAATCCAAATAGTTTTTATATGTTTTGTCCCAATGATGAACTTTTACAGCAGACTTCTATACTAGAACAAGGCAACTCATACCCATTTTGTAAATTTATCATGATATTGTGGTTTTAGTTTTAAGGATTGAAATGCATTGAATAAATATTTCAAACTGTTTCAGATAAATGGAAGATCCTTCAAAGGCCCAAAGGCTAATATTCTTTTAAGAATTCCACGTTTAATAGTGTCTAAAACTTTCAAGAAATACTAAATATAAATATTGTTTTAAAAATCCCACTTAAGCCATAACTGTATTGTATGACTTTATGAATAAGGTTTATTTTTTATTAATGCTCTTTATTAGGATAATATAACTGTACAGCAAATTGAATTTATATTTGATTAAAATTTCTTAAAAGGGAAGTCTCAAATTAATTTGGAGAACAGTAAACCTTGAACAGATTACTGCCCAGTTGAACATGTGCTTGACAAGGAGAAAAAAATGTATATAAAATAGATATTCTTAATCTGGAAGAGAAATCCTTTTTATTTAAACACAACCTTGGGGTTGTAAATTAAGCCAAAAGATCATTTAAATGGAGACTTTTTCAGAGGTTAGGAAGTTAGGGTTCTGATTTTATCAGGAATTGAAAATTCTGAGTTGAAATGTTAGAAAGATAAAAAGTAGTCACAATGTTCATAATTATGCCATCATTTGCTATGAAATATTTAAATATGCTGAGAGTTTCATGGTCCATCTTACCTACTGCCGTAGCTTATTATAGAGAGCAGTTAGGTAGAACTTCTCTTCAGAAGATAAAATGATATGAAACCTTAAAAAATTCGAAACCACAGTGACAGTGTGAGTTGATCCCTCTGGGCTCTCTGCAGGATTAAATACTCTACTAAATGGGATGCCTGACTAATGAAAGGATTATGGAATTAGGTAGTCATGCCCATTACAGCTATATTATTTCTGCTCATTCTCCTGAAAATACCAACCATGTGCCTCCAGAAATAGGATTAAGTATCAATCAGTAATTAATGACTCAGAAAGCAGAGAAACCAGCGATAGAAACATAAATAATGAACAGAATTCTCAGGTTAACAGGTTTGGCCTTAAGGAAACAAAACAAAGCAAAACAAAGAATCATTGAAAATGGACAAATATGATAGAGAAATTGTATTAAAACAGGGTTGTCTGCTTAACTCTAGTTTTCTATCTTAAACCTCAAACTCTGCCCAGGTACCCAGGTTAAAGATTTTGTTGTTCTGATTTTATGGATTATAGAGAAAACACGGAGGCTCCAAATTTGCTTTGCAAAATGCACACACACACACACACACACACACGAACGAAATGATGTTTGTAGATACTGCTTGAACCTGAGAGTTTGCTACTAAGCACGTTTATTTGGTCATCTCATAGCTATGACTGAAACAATCCTGAATAAGGAGTTTTACAAATACCACACTGCCTTAAGTTCCCAAATTTAATAGATTTGATTTTGAAAATACCTACAAAAATAGAAAACAGTTATCTTTCAATAGTTTGTATCAATAATTACTTTGCCTCAGCACTGTACTCAGATAAAATTATACTTCAGTAGTTATAAAAAAATTACCAAGTTTCATAAGTGAGAGTAAAACTATTAGGCATAAATATAAAATATAATATAATTTTTTGGAACATTTTTTCTCATTTATCAAAATCAACACTTTTACTTCTTAATGGTGATATGTATTTTTTTAGGTATTAAAAATTTCATACAAAATATATTTTTATAAAGGACCATTGTTGGAACATAGAGATTCATTTTCACTTTATGTCTTACTGGGTTTAGCAACTACTTTATTTCATCTATTATTTAGCTAAACCTTCATTTTTTGGATCTTACATATCTATTGATTTGAGATTCCATCTCACGGGAAAGAGAACCTAAAAAGTTGCCTAATATCTATCTTCACATGAAAAACCAGTAATCACAAAAGAGAATTGAGTTTATCTCACTCCATTTTACTTAGAAATGGGTATGAGGCCATTATGTAACAAAAATTGATCTTTTTTTTAGAAGATAATTCTTTTAAAAGCAAGCATTCTTTTGTATTATTTAATTTACACAAATTTGATTATGATTTTGTAAAGCATTAACTGTCCAAACCAAGATACAAATCGCTTTCACATTTACAAGGAAACACTGATAACTGTGAAAAAAAATAATCAAACATTCGAACCTTCAAATAAGAGGAGCATATTTTGTATTTAATATATTTATTAATTCAAATATATTTACTGATAGCTGTTAATTTCCCACTATGGAAAATTAAAAGATGAGATAATTCATGATCTCCAAATTAAGTGACTCAGTAGACAACATTAGCACCCATCCCTAAATAACTAGACTATATAAGACTATGACCAATGCTAAAAGAAGGATATCATCTCTCTGGGTTTCAAAGACAGAGAAGACTTTTTTTTTAAGACAATCAGGAAAGTTTCATGAAGGAGGGCAGAATTTCATCAGAGAAAGATGCAATGATGGACACCAGACAAAGTCCAAGAGAAAGTAACAGAGTATTTATGTTCATGATCACTTTATGTGTTAAGAATGGTGGTAGATGCTTGATTTCATTTAAGTATTCATTAACTCAGTAAATGCAGATTACATGCCTATAATAACCCAGGCAAGAACATAATCATATTAATGTAATATAAATTTATATAAATAATTATAATCCTTCATAATAAGTATATTGCTATTACTAATACATTTTAAAAAACAGAGGCTGCTATGAGGACATGTAACAAGGTATCTTGACCTAGTGCAGTAAAGACAGAGGTTGGTGATGGGTGATCTTCAGTGGGATGAACCTTTGAGCTGAGATCTGAATGTAGAGTGGAAATGAACTAAGCAAACAAACAGCTGTGGGCAGATGGAGGTGTGAATTGTCTGTGGAGTTTGAGTTGCTGGATAAAGCTGTATCTACATCCAATCATACCTCTACACTTTACAATTAGGTGAGTCAATTAATTCCATCATACAACCATCAAAAACAGTTTTTTTGAATTTTCTGTTACATTCAGTATAAAGGTCCTAATTGATTTAGGAGTGTATTAACTACTTGACTCACACCTTTTCAATTTATAATTTTAGATCTCTCTGGAGAGTTTCATGATGAATGAATTTCATGTAATAGAATTCTTAGAAATAATAAAGTGGACTAGGTGCATCTACTAAGGCTATTTTTCAATACTTGTCAACTTAATTTACATATAAAATGATAAATAATTTAAATAATATTCAATCAGAGAATAAATAAAACTGTGGATTTAATTTCCTTGCAAACTTGTTGAATATTCAAATCCCAGGTATTTCTTACTTTTCAAAATCTAAACTATACCATACAGAAACATTTATATCTCATTAAGTTCTAATGAAAATTTAAATAGACTAAAGAAAAAAAGCTATTTATATATCTTCATTACCAAAGCATTTCAATACTTCATCACCTTTTTTTTCCCTGTATGCCTGTCATAAGATTATATGAGTCTAGAGATGTTTGAATAGTTGGATTTGATGTCCTATTTTGACTAACTGGATGGATTTGTGGAAATTACTTGAAAACATTTTTTGCTATAATGCTTCACTTTTAAAAACTGGAAAATATTATAGAGGATATTATGTTGTTATCAAAGTAGACACTATAAAAGTAAAATATGGAGCTAAAATACCATTAGCCACAATTTACTTATTACTGAATATCTGTATTGGAAAATAATCTGCTGAGCAATTTATTTATCATACATTTAAATTCTCAACACAGTAACAGCATTAATGACCTGCTGGTCTCACATTTCCAATAAGGCAGTGATTTTACGGATCAAGGATTCTTAACTCTGCTTAAAATCTCCCACTACTCCAAACACTCATTAACCCTTAGGGAAAGCTTGGGTTAAGAGGTGAATAATGCTGCAAAAGAAAGTACACATACAGTTCGCACCACAGATAATGTGCAAATGAGAGATGTCATCACTGAATAGTGTTGTTATAAAATTGAAAATCAGCATCTTCACAGAGTGTTTTAGCAGAAAAGTTCTCCTTGAGAAAAAAAATCAATACTTCAGACACTTTCTAGGAATAAGAGTTTATTCAAATTCAAATTTAAATTTCTTTCATATGTATATTTCCATTTAAAAGATATGTCAGTGCATAATTTGTTTTCACAGAGACTTCCCTGATCCTGCCTCCAGCCTAAGTTTGATACTTCCATTAGTTGCTCACATAGTGTCTTGCTCTTTTTCCTATTATTATTCATTTTAGCCCATTTTCTTTTTTGCTTGTTTTCCCTGTTAGACTGCAAGTTTTACGAGGGCAGGGGCTGATCTTATTCCTGCGCTAATCATGGTACCTACTGGGCAAGGAGTTTTTCTGGTATGTAGTATAATGTTAATAAATGCACAGATAATTACTGCAGGAGTGATCAACATACATTTTATTCAAGTGGTGATTGTTAATTTTTCCAATATTAATAAGTTTGCTTTAGGTTGACATTAGTAAAACCTCTATGACTATTTTATAAAATTACTCAGTACCCCTTTTCTTCACTAATGGCTGTATGTCAAGGGAACATTAATAATTAGCATCACAATGTTATGATTTAATACAGAATAATGAATACACAATGCTTTAAAATATTAAACCTATGTATAAATTTAATCAGAATTTCTAATTTATTTTTCAATGTGTTTGTGAAAATTATGAACCTACATTTGCTATTAAATACAGTATATAATTTCCATCACTCTTTATAAAAATTATATCTTATTTTAGAAGGTTGGGTATGTATATTGATAATGATATTTAGTATGATAACCAGATTTAACTTCTTTTACTGAATACTAAAAAAAAAAAGGAAATGTTTATTTTTGGTTGCAATTTCTACACAGCAAAGAGAATATATATCATGACCCAAATTATTAATTTCATGAAAAAAGAAAAACATATAGCTTCTTGTAGTGTTACATTTTATTCTTGTCCCTAGTTGGTGATGCCAAAATGTAATTTGCATGGACAAAGTACATTAAAACAATTCCAATTTAAATCTAAGTGCACTTGATACCAGTGTCCTGACAGCAAAAGAACAAAATAGAAACAAAAGCTAGTATGTTGATTTTTATCCAAATAGTATAAATAATTTGATTAAAATGTCTATATAGAAAGAAAATTATGTCTATTATCAAAAAGACCAGAGATAACAAATTTTGGCGAGAATGTGGTGAAGAGGGAACATTTGTACATTGTGGGTGAAAATGCAAATGGCACAGTCACTATGGAAATTAGCCACTATGGAAGATTCCTCAAGAGATTAAAAATAAAACTACAATATGATCCAGCAATTCCACTTCTGGGCATATACCCAAAGGAAATGAGATCATTATTTGGAAGAGATATCTGCACTTCCATGTTGGTAGCTGTATTAGTCATTAACAGCCAAGGTATGGAAACAACCTAACTGTACCTTGAGGAATGAGTGGATAAAGAAAAATGTAAGATACAGATATAGATAAAACTAGATAACTACTAGTGTTTTTATCTATATATTCACAATGGAATACTATTCAGCCTTTAAAAAGAAAGCAACCCTGTCATTTGCAACGACATGGATGAACCTGGAGGGCATTATGCTAAGTGAGATAAGCCAGACAAAAACAAATACTACTGATCTCATTTATATGCAGAATCCTAAACAAATGGAACTCACAGAAACAGGGTACAATGGTGGGTGCCAGGGGCTGGAGCAAGGAGAAATAGGGAAGGGTTACAAAAAGGCTACAAACTTTCAATTAAGGTAATTAAGATCTGAAGCTCTAATGTATAATATGGTGGCTATAGTTGATAACAATCTATGTATAACTGAAATTTGTTAAGATAGTAGAATTAAAATATTCTCAAAAAATAATTATGTGATGAATGAGATAATTACTTGCTGGAGGGAATCCTTTCACAATGTATAGTTAAATCAAATAATCACTTTGCATACTTTAAATATATTATAATTTTCTCAGTTATACCTCAATAAATCTGGAGGGAAACATGCATGCAGTATATGCTTACATATCTAGCAATAATTGGTCCTGTTAATGAATATTATTCTCCCCATAACAATTTAATTTGCCTAAGATCATTGACTATACCTCTAAATCATCTAAATCCCATTCACCACTGAAGCAACCCAACACATGACTGCCACCAAGTGGCAACTCAAGCAATATTGAAACACTGCTGTAGAATTCATGCACAACAGTAATTACTGACTGATTCTTCTAACAAGGGATATAAAAGTTTTTAGTTCAGAGACCTTATAATTAGATTATTAACATTAATTTTATAATTCAAATATTTCTTATTTTAAGTCATTAATCTCAGTTTGTGGTAACTGAAACATGAATATATATCTGCATACATTTTCTTCTCAGTAATTATTTTCTTACATTTAAGTCATATAATTTGAGTGTAATAAAAAATTCAAATATCCACGACTGGTTTATATTTAAGTAATGCTAGCATTACTTGGATGATAGGACTCTAGTACCCTCAACCACCTGAAAACTTCTTAGGAAGCTTTCTATTAACCAAGTAGCATCTTAGAGTTTACACTCTAGTTCAAGGTAAGTGGGGAAGAAAAGCTTGCATTTATCCTTAAAATTATGCATATGATAAGGGTGAGGTAGACATGCAGAGGTGTATTTCTGACTTAGAAGCTGAAAAATTGAGAGCCCTGAGGGAAACAAAGTCAGTTTTAAGAGAACACAAATGAACAAAGTTGGTTTTCAGAGTGACACAAGATCAGTCATTTCATAAAATATACAAGTACCTTTAAAATGTTTGTGAAAATGGTAATTATATATCCCTCTCAATAAGGCTCGATACTTAAAGAGAAAGATATCAGATTTTTTTGTAAATCTCTACCCCCTTAGTAGATGGAAAAGAGACACATAAAGGTATGATCTTTTTGGTTTGAAACAGTATGAGCCACATAATATCAATAAATAATATTCTCTCATGACTGTTCCTCAAATCAAAAAAATTCTATATGAGAGTTACTTCAGTGGATAAATGTTTTCAAATTTTCAGAAATAAGATATACTAAATCTTCTTCTAAATTTTACCACTTTAATAATTTCTAACAATGCTTAAACCATGAAAACTATCCATAAAACACAGTGAAGTAGATAGAGTCATTAATTAGCAATAGTTCCTACTAATATGCATTCATGCTATAGTAGAGCATTGCAGTTGAAATAATCCAGGTCTTTTGGCACTTATGCTCAATTTTATACTCTGTTACTTTCTCCAAAAGTGCATATCTCAAACTTTTTTCCCAGGAAGTAGATGATAATGATACATATATTTCTGTAAGTTTTTTTGTCAGAACTTTGCCCATTAAATTATAAAAGGGAGAACTGTCATATAAATTCTAAAGTAGTTCAATTTATTAGGCAATATTTTGGATGTTCCATGTGCATCTCTGTTTTATGAAAAGTTCTGTTAAATTTACTGCCCCTTCATCTACTAAATCAGCTCTATAGCTGCAAAAGTTATGCAACCAGGTATTTTTGGAACTGTACTTTTACATTTTGCTTAATGCAAATCAATATAGCACTTCAAGGATTTTAGCAAAGATTAATTTCCAATCACTACTCTTGCTATCATTCTTAATTGTTTGGTAATTTTGTATGTCTAAATTTTTACCTCTAGAACGCACTGGACTAATGTCTTCAAAATATTTTGTAATTGCACAAATTATTACTGCACTTGTCTCTCATTTCTCTTGCTGTAATGGAATATTCTATTCACTTACTACAGGCAGGTATAAACTATGCCCTGTCCATGGTACTGATCTTCATAGGTCTCATCAGGAATGTTACTGAACCAACAGCTAAACACATTGTACGTACTACTTATTCTTTTAAATAATAACCCCCAAAACAAAGCTTTCATTAAAGCTGCAATTCTCCAATATTCTGGTTCTAACATAACGTGGGAGCATTTTGGAGGATAACACAATTCAGTTTTGACAAAATTCTTAAAGATAGATTGAGGCTAAGCAGCTTATGAGCAACAAAATTTTTACAAGGATAAATAAGACAGGAGGTATTTTTCAAGAGTGAGATGAGGAGAGAGTGAGAAATAAAGGGGTAGATGAGAAAAAAGAAATATCACAGAACAATATTTCTCCTTTTAGGATCAAAGCACATGGTAATTCAGCAGTGCTTCATTATCTTTAGGTCTCAGGCTTGAATTTCATGGTGTATTAGAATCACATACTGGGAACAAATAAAAGAAACAGAATGAGAGAAAGAGAGACAATGGTTTTAAAACAATCTTTAAAAATATTTATAGATGAAATAACCATATAGGATATTTTTCTTAATTTGTGAATTATGGCTTAATTAAAATAAAATGAAAGCAAATACATTTTCTTTATTACTGTTACTACATTATTATTATTTTGCCAAATGGTGGTATTTGATGACTACAAATAGAGCCCAGTCCAATCACTCAAATCTGGCACTTCATGGCACTTAGACAAATTATCTAAAACTCTCTGTGCCTCATATTATTCATTACTAAATGGGGATAGTAATAATTATGCCATACTTGTGTGTATGTAGGTGTGTTTCAAATAAATCAATGTATCTAAAGCTTTTAGAACAGTTCTCTTGCATATAATACTGCTCAGTAACATTAGATATCTTTTTGTTGTTGTTATACAGGATTTGATATGATTTCAAAAAACCCAACCAGGTGATGATTCAGATAAGCTTAAGTACCTTGATTTGTAAACACATCTGGGATAGTTTATTTAATTTGAGAGGGGCATTAAAAACCCTTATCATTTCCATATAACCAGCCCAAGAACAATGACTGATGAAAGAATACATTTACTAAATATTAAATGACCCAGTTATGGAATAGATTCATATACAGTATGAACAAAAGGGATTCATATGCAGAGTAAATGAGATAATGAGAGAAGAGCTTTTCTCTGAAGACAGACTATCAGAGTGAAAATGCCAGATGTACCACTTCACAGCTATGTGCCCTTGGGCAAGGTACTTGACACTCCTGACTCTGTCTTCTCATCTGTAGGAGATGTGGCATAGAGTTTTATGAGGATTAAATAAATTTATGCATGCTAAACACTTAGAAACATCCATAGAACTGAAAATTTTAATAGAAAAGTATTTATTAGTATTATAATGCCTAAAATGTCAGCTAATCAAGTTTTTGGTAAAAATGATAGCTTTTTACAAATACTTTCATAGTTTGCTATTTATTACCAGTGGTATTTCAGGTTTAATTTTGACAAGAACAAAGTCACTAGAAAAATGGAAAATGTGCCTATAACTTTAAATTATTAGGATCTACAGTAACCAGTTGAGCTAATCAAACACAGGTTATTAAGACAGTTAAATAATAATAATTTGAGAATGCATTCAAATATATTTTACTATTTTTAAATTGACTTGGTAACTTAAAATCCCCTCAGATACCCTCTAAGCAACTTCAGTATGTTTTGTGGGCAGCAAATGGTAGGGAAAGTGATCAAAGAAGCAAATAGACACCATAATTATTAATCCAAGCCTTTTTACAAGAGCACACACACAAATGTGGCACATACACATATTTTGAAATATACAAAAGTTTTATAATTTAAATCATATCTAATATTTGAGACATACAAAATATTTTAACATATGATGAAAACTTGTTGTAAGCTTAAAAGCACTAATAAAGTGCTTCAAACATAAAGTACAGAATAAGAATATAACACATAATTATGACCTAGTACTAAGATTCAGTATTTTGCTATATATTATCCATATTGTTCTCTTTAAGAAAAACAAAGTTGCAGCAGATACAATCTTCAGTACTCGTCTCTTCTCCTTTCTTCCTAATTGGGATCAAAATTGTGAACAATTTTGTCTTTAGTCTACATATAAAATTTAAACACCACCACATTCTATTTGGTGTGTATTAAAACATTACATGGATTGTCTTATTTTAAATAGCTTTTTTTATTTCAATAACCCTTACCAGCTTTTAACATATTGTACAACTTACTTATCTTTATTATTTCTCAAGACTCAGTAGAATAGATGCTCCATAAGTACAAGTAATTTATCTGTTTGTTCACCAAGATAAAACCCAGAGTAATATACTCTCAATGCATATCTGTTGAATAAATGATCATAAATAATTTTAACTAGCAGCCTTCCAATTTTTTTTTTGTAGGACAGTGTATACGATGAGAAGATAACCAAAGAGCATCTTCTTGTTGGATTAACTCCTTACAGTCCCCAAAATGCCACTGTATCACTGTACAGCTCTTAAGGCACTCTGCAAATACTGCTGAATGACCAGTATCCAGAGACGGCAGCTATCACTCAAGGTTTACGAATTTTAGATAGGTGCAACTCCTTGGAAGATAAATTACAAAGAGTTGCCCAATCCTGTTAGCTAATTTGGCCCTGAATCATGTCCTAAGTTTAAAGAGCACAACAAGATGTGAATTTTGCCTCCTACTGGCTTTCCCTAGCCAAGACGACTTGTAAAGGACAAGACTTGTACAACTGGCAGCCAAGCAGAATGCTCTTTCAGACACTGCCTGGCTAGTGTGATAGTGTTATAACTTGGAAGAGTTCTAAAGTTTAGGGGATAGAAGATAAAGATGCTACGGGATAGTTTATTCTAGATGAAAAGTGTAAAGATATTTTTTTCAAATGTCACTGAGATGAACGAAGGATGTTCTGGGATCTGTGAGTTTATAAGAAAATGTCCAAATCTACCTGACAAAAACGAACAGTTAAATTACTGAATAGAAAATTGCCATTTCTAAAGTGATGGAATTATATTTTGCAGAGTTCCAAATGCTCTATCATTTATTATTTTCAGGTATAAATATTTTTTCTTTTTGTTTTTAAGTAGGCTTTTCTTTCTGAATTACAATCGCAGATACAGATAGCTCCAGACGGTCCTGGGTGGATTCACAGGAACTTCACCAGGGCACTATCTTTCTGCTATTCTCAAGGTTAGATGAAAATTTATATATCTTTATTTTTTGAATATGTATAGTAAAGTTTGTAGCATTCAGTTCGCAAAATGGCCTGTCCTAAAATTCTTAGGCTCTCTTATCTTTTGAACTTTGCAGTTAGAATTGTATCAGAAATTTTTAAGTGTTATTCTGAGTTGAGGCTATGTATATTAACACATGTTATGGACACCTCTTTCTCGGTTTGTGTGTTGCCTATTCTGAAGTCCTAGACTAAAGGTATTTTAAATGTTACTATGGATGATAGTAGATAGTATTCCTATGAATTAATAAGCGTTTGACTTCATTCAAAATCAACAACATTGGAATGTTATTATTGCAAAGTAAGAACATTGGAGGTTCAACTGAATTTTGATTTGCTGTATATCTTATCATACTAATTTTAAATTAAGAATAAGGATTAAAAAATTAAACAGAATATACTGTGAAAAGAGATTTTAAAGAAAATAAATGGACATAGCTAGTATTAGTGATATAATATGCATATGCATTCTGACACCTATAATGGGTAGTTTAAAATTACTTTAATTAACTACTAAGGTGAAAAAGGCCAACTGTGACTTTAACTAACGATGTGAGCTTGAGTGAATCTATAAACTTTCTTATATGTGAATTTCATCGCCTTTAAAATAAGTAGTACATCCTAGATTACTCTAAGTACTTTCTAGAATTTTTAAAATGATTCACCCTGCTGTGTAAAGGAGCTGGCCTTTCACAGACACCACTGCAATGTACGATGAAGCAGAGTTCTTCTTACAATTCTATTGTAGTTGATGATGTTATATTATTTTAATTTAAAGATAATGTGCAAGGAACTTTTCTATTTCATCTTCAGCTTTAATCGCTGTAAATATCTTTAAGAGAAATGATACTATTAATTTTCAAGAGGCTTCCCAAGATAAAGACATTGGTCCAGGTTCAGCCTTTGCCTGCTAATCATATATTAAAAATAGGATTTTTCCAAATGCTGTCTCTATGTAAATGTTAACCTTTTTATTTATTTTTCTTTTGGATTTAATGAACATTTAAAATATAAAATGAATACTGTTAAATAAATTTTATGGGAAAATGTATATTATTACCTCTAAAAACATATTTAGCACATGTTTATAGGCGTTTCTTCAAATATTAGAAATACTTGAGTAATAAATTAATTTTTTTAATAATGCCTTGAAGGACCTCTATTTGAAAATATGAGCTTTAGATAAAAGAACAGTATCCAAATGTCTATTTATAGTCCATCCAGATTATCTTTAAATATCACATATATTGCAGGTAGAATTAAGCTATCTTAAGCATAGGAGAAATACAGTAAAATCTGAAGTAGAATGGAAGGGGCCATTCTATGCCGGTCACAATAAATCGGATTACTTTTCTCTTTTGGAGAAGTTCATTTCCTATTCACAGATGAATACAAATGTGAAAAACTTTCAAGTCTTAAAGGCTTTGCAGTATTTGATAACACCCACGGGGGAAAATTTTGTCTTTAACTTTCTGTGCTGACTCTCAAATCGCTGCACATTTGTGTGGCTGGATGGAAAAGTCAGTGTCAGTGGTTTCATAAGAAAAGCATTTACAGGGCCTCACTATGATAATAACTGTTCTAGAGAGCTCTGAACTCCCCACTCCTCCATGCCTGTCTGTCATGCACTCTGTTCAGCGACTGCTTTCTCATTCTTATGGAATATATTTCAGATCTCTCCAATTGTGTTTGAAATGTGATGATTGCAAATGCTTTTTCTGCTTTATTTTATGTTTCTAGACTATGCTTTCTTCTTAAGCTTGTCACTTTATCTCTGTTTACATTGTATTTAGTTTGGCAGTGTTTTGAGATAAAGCATTGATTTCTGAATCTTATTAACACAACTATTTTCTCTTTCAAACATAATGCCTCACTCATACTTTAGTCTGAAAAGAACTTTCAAAGCAATATGGTTTCCAGGGCACTGAAAAAATTTGCTAGATATCATATAACATTGCAAGGCACATTAATTAAGTTTTATGTTCTCTTGTTTTATAAATTCTTTAGAGGTACTGCATGGCTCACAAAAATCTAATTCCAGTACTCTCTAGGCTGACTATTACTGATCTGAAGACATGAGTACTTGGTTTGAGAAAGAGAAGGACAATATTTTCCTCTTCACTTCTTCATCATTTCCTTTGTATTGCGAACTTTGTTGGCAGGTGAGAAAATAAGTATATCCTTCTAGAGAGCATAACTTAATGATCATGATTTAAAAGTGCAGTATTGACCACGCCTAGTGGTTGTCATAGATCTAAGATGAAAAAATCTGAATAAGAGAATTTTTTTTTTAAATTAGCAAATGTTACTGAGTCTGTCTTTACTGCCTGGGTATTTTCATGATTCTAGAAATTTGCTAATTAATTTTCAATATCAATTATATAATAATCAAAAACCATGTATGAAGTTACATAGAGGGGAATGAACACAAGTAACATCTAATCAAGGCACTTTAGTGAATAGCATGGAAGCTAAGAGTGGACATGGTTATAAATATATGTGTGTTATGTAAAATGAAAGAATTAAGGTAAGTTCTAGGAAAGTTACCAAGTGAGTATGTAATAACTGAAATGTCTGATGGAAGACAGCAACTGTCTAAAAGGATCTCTAGTAACTTGAATTATGGGGAAGCATTTGATTTAGTCTTTGAAGAATGAGTTTGATTTCAAGAATAGACAACATAGACAATGTTTACTAGGAAGATAAGTTTCAGAGGGATCCTCAAGTCAATTTAATGTCTTGATCGATAATTCTTAGTTTTTTTGTATCACAAGGGACAGCCACTGACCATTTTGACATTTGTATGTTAAGATAAGATGTATGCACTGAGAAGAATCTTTTATGAACAGAGTGCAGGGCTGACATAAAATGAAGGAAACTGAGCAGAGCAACCGTCAAGTGTCAGAGAAGATGGGAGAGGAGTACCTAGAGAATAAGAATGCAATAATTATAGGGAGTCAAAAATTTTAGAAGCATGAACATGGATGAAATGTACCACAGAAAGAAAACATAGAAGGAGAAGAGGATTCAATGGCAGAACTTTAGAAAACCAGGTACATCTGTGGCCACAACTTCAAAAATAAATTAGTAAGGTAATGCAACCAAATTTTGAAGTGTGATTAGCTATATCAGGTGCTTTATAAATGTTATCCATTTACTCTTCATAACAGCCCTGCAAGGTGGGTGTCATTATTACCCACTGATCCACTGATGAGCAAACATGGTTCAGAAGCAGGTGACTTGCCTAAGATTACAGGATTCTAACCCGAGTCTGTCTATACTCTATTCCCTTTCTACCACAACATACTATAAATTGATGAGATTGCCAATGAGAGAGTGGGAGAGCCAACGGGATGTAGGATAGCAGAATGTTTAAAAAGCAGAAGGCGATTAAAAAAGGGTAACATAGTGCCGTTTGCAGCAACATGGATGGACCTAGAGATTATCATTCTAAATAAAGTAAGCCAGAAAGAGAAAGAAAAATACTATATGATATCACTTATATGTAGAATTGAAAAGAAAGAAAAGAAAGGAAAAATCGGACACTAATGAACTCACCTGCAAAAGAAACAGACTTGCAGACATAGTAAACAATCTTACGATTTCCGGGCAAAGGGGTAGGAAAGAGTTTGGGAGTTTGAGATTTGCAAATGTTAACCACCATATATAAAAATAGATTTAAAGAAATTTCTTCTGTGTAGCACAGGGAACTATATTCAATACCTTGTAATAAGCTTTAATGAAAAAGAATATGAAAATGAATATATGTTTATATATGCATGACTGGGACATTATGCTGTACACCAGAAAATAACACATTTTTGTAGCTGACTATACTTAGATTAAAATAAAAGAAATTTTAAAAAAAAAGAAGGGCTTTCAGGGTGTCAATGGCTTTATGACATAAAATAAGATTTTAAAAAATCTTGGGATTCTGTGATCTTTCAGATGTTGGCAATGTTTGAATGAGAATGTCAGTAGCATAGTAGGAGCAAATGTCATGTTGAGGAGGGAAAAACAGCTATCATAAAAAAAAAAGTATTGCAGGATGCTGCAATTCAGGCTTTATCTTCATACAGCCTGGCATGTGAATTCTCACTGCCACTGAAAGGGACCGGAGTTGCTTAGTATATTTGAATATTGGCTACTTTATCAATAATGGAGAGAATAATGCCTGCCTCACTGAGGTTGCTATGTGTATTGAGATATGTATATAATGCTCTAAGCATAGGTGATTATGTGATATATCATTTAACATATCAGCTTATAAAGATATTTTTAAAAATAATAATCTGAGAGAAGGATACACAGGTATGTAGAAATGTTTGTATATATGTATGTGTTTATGTGTTGATGCTATACCAATAGTATAAAACAAATATGTCATTTTTATAACTATTAGCACTGGCACCACAGATTGAATATTTATTATATGAACATGAATATACAGTCCTTGTCCTTAATCACAATGGTATGAAAAATACGCTATTTTCCCTGTTTTATAGATGAGCTTTCTTAAAGTCTGAGACATTAAGTCATGGTCAGTGACTATCAGACGAAGCACTTAAATTTACATTTGCCAGGCTCTTTGCTTTTTTTCCTGCTTAATTAGTATTGTAACAATGACATCACAACTTAATCAATAAAAAAGAGATTATTACTAAATGTCAATAGATCTCAGTCAAAAAGAACAGGGAAGAGATATGTACAGGGTTCATACATTTAAAGACCTAACACTGTTTCTTTTATTTTTTCTTAATGATATTGAAAATACGTATGATTCTAACTGAAAGTGCAAAATACGAAGTTTTGCTAAAACATTCTTTAAAGCTATTCCATTTAAAAATCTTTCAGCTTCAATTTTACTAATGATTTGCATACCAATTAGCTCATTATATTTCCCTTCCACTGTATTCAGTCAATTAGATTTTGTGCAATTAATATTAATGAAAAAGATTTTATGATGTATTCTAATAGGATATGAAGAAATTTAATGTTAGTGGATAAAGTTATATAACTATTCAAATCTATGCATTAACTTATTCACTACTACAAAATCAAACTTCAGTAAAGTTAAAGGGTTAAAAATATGAGTGATGCTAAAGAAATAAGCCAAAATGAGTAGAAGCACCCAAATATAACAGGGGAACAATACAAAGTTGAAAATCAAATATACTAAATATATTAAATAGGAGACCAAATGTGTGAAGAGCTAGTTGACAATTTATTATAATAAGACTATATCAAAAATAAATAATTATAGCTATTCCAAAGTCCAATGAACACTACATAATATAATTATGATGTTTAAATGAGGAGACAAGAACTTTTAGACTTTAGAGCTGAAATCATACTATGCGGTTTCCCCCAAGCTGATAGACTGTCCCTCATCTGGATTGTACTTTTCTGTACCTATGAAGTATTCCAGAGTGACATCTTCTTTAGTATTTATCTGTATTCTGTACTTCCTAACTGGTGAACTATCAAAAGTATATGATTGTTACCAACAATTCTGTAGCAATATTACATTTGTAATGGGCTCATTTCCAACAGTATATATTAATTTATGAAAATATTAATTTATGAAGTATATATTATTTTATGAAAAGTAAAAAGTAATCATAATTGAGTTTAATTTTATTCTCATACTTGCTCAATGATTTAGAGAATGGGAGAATAGAATTATGTATTCTTCATGTAGGGTTAGTATTTCTGTGATTTAAACTCTTCTGGCTCTTCAAAGACTCGATATCTCTTTCTCTCTTAGTGTATATGTGTATATGTATGTGTGTATGTGTGTGTGTGTGTATGATTAGATATCTTTATTGTATAAATTTTTTAAGCACTTCAGAATATAGTCACTCTATTATATATCTTTCATAGTGAATCAAGTAATTCACATACATATATACATATATATATACACACACACACACACACACATAATTTTACATGTCCATTTGGCTAGCCTTTGGTGCCAGTTGTTTGATCAAACACTAGTCTAGACATTGCTATGAAGGCATTTTGTAGATGTAATTAACATTAACAATCAGTTGATTTAAGCAAAGGAGATTATCCTCCATAATGTGGGTGGGCCTCATCCAATCAGTGAAAGGTTTAAGAATGAAAACTGAAATTCTTGGAAGGAAATAATTCTGTCTCAAGACTATAACACAGAAATTGTGCCTGAGTTTCCAGCCTGAGAGCCTGTTCTACAAATTGCAGAATTGTAGCCTCCATAATCACATTCATTAATGCCTAAAAATAAATCTCTTTCATTTACATACACACATATATCTTATTGATTCTGTGTCTGTGGAACCATGACTTAATACAATGTGTGTGTATGTGTGTATATATATTTGTACCTAAGATATTCATTATTTTGTTTCTTTGTATGAATATATATATATGTATATATTAAAAACTCCAACATTTCATGTATCAGTTGAAAAATACTTTTCTGACAGAGAAGAGTAGAAGTAGTGAACAATGCAGAGACCAACTGCCAGGCTTCACATGGATCAATAAGGCATCATATTCCAAAAGAAAGAGTGCAGAAAAGAGCGAAAAAGCAAATTAAAGCATGTATACTGTTTTCCCTGGATTTTGTCATAAAGTGAAAGGGGGCTGATTGAGGAGAAGATTCCTTTCAGTAAAGGAAGAAAAACACAATTTGTTCAGTTCATCTGATAAAATACAGTCTTGAAAGGTTTATATTCTTCCAATCCTCTACAAATATGAACAAGGCTAAGAATAAAGAAGAAACAGAAAGTCAGATAAAGAGAAAATTGGTCAGAGCACATGTAGTTACTCTATACATAATCCCAGATCACCATATTCCTCCTGAGGACACGAAGCAATAATCATTTTCCAAATAAAGGAGGTCCTATTTTTCCAACTTTATTTCACCAGTGCTTAATAGTCAATAGTTCTCCAATTATTATATTTAGAGTGAGGTTTTCTCCTGAAAAAATTTCTCTGAAGGATATTGCTGTACATCATACTCAGATATGCAGTGAAATTGTAATGATCATAACCAAGAAAATAAATAATGATCTCATCATTTTTGGAGCTCACATATTATTTGAGGCAAAGAAAGAAGAGAAGTTCTACAGGGAAAAGATGTTTGTCACAGCTGACTTGCTTTACCCAACATCTGCTAAAGTAGTAGGAGGATGGCTTGAGCATCTAGCAATTTGAAATGCATTAAAAGGAAAAGCGAAGTAACAGCAGAAGAGAGAAGTGCTCTGTGAGTTAACAAGTTAAGAGTATATGACTTTCTAGACTAGCACTGAATATAAATATTAGGCAAATCATAAGTGTGAGCCACATAAATAATTTTAAAATTTCTAGTAGCAAAATTAATAAAAGTAAAAAAACCCAGAATATATTAATTTAACAACATATTTTATTTGACCCAATATATCCAAGTCACTATCATTTCAACACGCAATGGATATAAAATTACTAAAAAGATACTTTACTTTCGTATTCACATTAAGCCTTTGAAACTTGGTGTGTTTTTGCATTTACAGAACATCTCAATTCAAACTACACATACAAGTGCTCAACAGTCACAACTGGCTTGGTGGTTACTGTACTGGACAGTGCAGTGCAATGAACCTCAATCTCGACATGACAGACTGCCAGAATCACCTGAAGAAATAAATAAAAAAATACTAGTGCTTTAAGCCTACCACTAAAGATTGCACTTTAGTTGGTCTGGGAGGAGGCTTAAATACTGGTTTTTAAAAGGTCCTTTGGTGATTAGAAACCATGATACGATGCCCACTGGTCTATTTAGATCGTCTCTTGGAATTACTGGGAAGTTACTGTTTGTTTCACCATCATCTAAGTTTAGCTCTCCTTGGAGATAATGACTATGTGTGAAGATGAATGCTGACTTTCAAAGGGAAGTGATGATCTTTGCACTTAGTCATAATAGCAGGCACATTCAGTTGATTTTTGTAATCTGTACTGAATTTTGGAGAGCATATCAATTAAAAAGGAACAATGCAAGAGAAATTTCATGTTCCAGTACATCGCTCTAAAGATCATTCACTAATTATCAAAAGGTTTGTTTTATAAACAATTCAGAAAATACCCAAACTTTTATTCTCCCCCTAGTACTGTGGGTACTTTGTAGCGCAATGCTTTGGAGATTCTCACGAGCACCCTACACCTGACAATGTTACTTGTATTTCTTTTCTCAACATGGAAGTTAGAGTTTCTAGCTTACACAAGAATTTTCCAAATTATGAGCCTCCGCTTCAAATATATATATATATTTGAATAAAATATATATATACACACACACACACATATACACACACACACACACACACACATATATGACACATGTATTTTAACTGGTCCTTTACAAAATACAGAGAGACAATTGTGTAAGAGTCAACTCACAAGTTGGAGGTAGTCCACTTGTGGCAAACTCATTGTCTCAGTAGCAAAGTATGTTCTGCGAACCAGGAATTTGTTAGAAATGCAGAATCAAGGCTTCACCCCAGACTATGTGCATTAGAACCTGTATTTCAACACAATGAGATGGCAACCCCGGTGCATACTATATTTTGAGATGCACAGAGGAATTCTTTTGAAGGATCATTGAAGGGAAACAGATTTGGCAGGTAAAGTAGAATCAACAAAAGGGTGAACGGATATGATAGGAAATAAAGTAGTTTGGGGGGACTAGAGCAAATAAATGTTTTAAATTGAGTAGAACCAAATTAATAACATGAGACTCTTTTATATTAGTTTTCTGTTTGCTGCTGTAAGAAATTATCACAAACTTGGTGGTTTTAAACGAGATAAATTTACTGGCTGTAAGTCAGAATTCTGATGCAAGTATTCCTGGGCTGAAATTAAGGTGTCATCAAGATTGTGTTGCTTTCTGAAGGTTCTAGGGGAGAAGACATTTCCTTTCCTGTCCCCCATCTTCAAGGCCAGCAAAAATGCATCTCTCCGTGTCTTTCTTCTGTGGTCACATCTCCCTCTATTTTCAGGATCCCAGTGATTATATTAGGCACTCCCAATTATCATTCAAGGTGATCTTTCTATTGTAGAGTCAACTGGTTAGCAACTTTAATTCCATCAGCAACTTTTATTTTCCCTTTTCCACAGAACATAACATATTCACAGGTTCCAGGGACAATGACATCTATGAGGGGCCATGATTCTCTCCAACACAACCTTCAGCTTCACCATTTCACTCTTCAGTTTAGCAAACTATGTTGTCCAATCAAAGAGCTGTCATTTGCTACCACTTAGGAGAAAATAAAAAGTGGAAGATCTTGTGTTCTCTCAAGGAGCTGTTTCTCTTGATTTCCAGCAGGAGCAAGTTACAGAATTAAAATCTTCACATAATTTGCTAATGGGCATTCCATTTAGAAGCTACTATGTGAAAATTCTCACTTTAATCACAACTGCTGTTTGCACACAGGCATAGTTTTCCTTGTGAGCCACCCACATAAATGTTGTTATTCTCTTTTTTTAAGATGTCATATAGACCAATTTAGTGAATATTACAGTGGCAAAAAATATCAAAAAGGAAACCCTCATGATACTGATCATGGGCAAACCACTTATAATCTTTGGGACTCAGTGGCTCAACTATAACTGGTAGTTTGTAACAGAATCTTCAAAGATTCGCCCCCCAACCCCATTCTTTACAAGTTGATGGCACGTGGTATCAAAAACAATGGTTTCTTCTAAAGATCTTGTCTTATTTTCTTTACATATCAATGAGTCTAATGCTTCCAAATTTGGTCTATAATCTGGAATTCTGGCATGCTGATGTATGTCTGGGAAAGGCAAGCAGCTTATAACTGGGTTCACAGAAACAACACAACATGATTCTTATGCTTATCCACTGTTTTTCAAATTTTCCCTTGTTGAACTTCTGGAATCATCTGTACTTTCAAAACTATGCTAGATATTTTAGTTAATATTAAGATTGCTTTGTGCCCTTCTTTTAAATGCAAATTAAATGATACAGGAAGTAAGGCAACACAGCTGAGCC